GTGCCCTATAGCAAAGATCTCTCAAAAAAAAAAAAAAAAAGAAAGTTGAGAAATAGAGCTGGCTTTGTTTGTTTGTCTGTTTGTTTGGAGATTTTTGCTATAGCATGTGTGCTCACCAGAAAGACAGAGAGATACAGAGAGACAGAAAGCGAGAAATCACCCCCCAGGGGGAATGGCCATGCCACGATCCCTTCTCCTCCATTCTCTTCTTGGCGGTTTGGGTACACATGCACACATGCCCAGCATGAGTTTTAAGCCGCCGGGTACAGGACTCAAACTTCAGTCGACTACATGGGAGCCCAGTGACATAACCATTACTCCATCTGCTGGTCCTAAGAAATAGAACTGGCTTTAATATAAAGCATTAGAAGTGGTAGTGTCCTCCATAGTGACTGTACCAATTTACATTCCCACCAACAGTGTAGGAGAGTTCCCTTTTCATCAAGGCCTTACCAGCACTTTTTTTTTTTTAATCTGTGCCATTCTGACTAGAGTTAAGTGGTTTCTCACTGTAGTTTCGATTTGCATCTCCCTTTTGATGAGGGATCTTGAGTATTTTCATGTTTTTTGGATGTTCATTTGTTTTCCTTAGAGAGTTGTTTGTTCTGCTCATCTTCTCATCTTTTAATTGGTTTGATCTTTACTTTCAGGTAAGTTGCTTGAGTTCCCTGTGTATTCTGGTTATCAGTCTCTTATCTGAGGCATAGTTTAAAAAAATATTCTCCCATTCTGATGGTTGTTAATTTGTACTAATTATTGAGTCTTTTCTGCACAGAAACTTCTTAATCTGTCTATTTTGGGGATTATTACCTATGCTTTAGGGATCTTATTTAAGAAGTCTTGATGTCTCACAGAGTTTCCCCCTGTGTTTTCCAGTAGTAGTTTTATAGTTTGAGGTCTTAGATTTAGATTTTGATCCACTTTGAATTGATTTTTGTTAATGGTGAGAAATAGGGGTCCAGATTGATATTTCTGCAGGTGGATACCCAATTTTTCCTGTACCACTTGCTATAGGGATTTTCTTTTTCCCACTAGATTGAGTGGTGTTCTTTATCAAAATAATGTATAAAATAAATGAGGATAAAAATAAAAATTATTTTTTTTACAAAGTGAAAAAAAAAAAGAAGTGGTAGTGAAAGCAATTAAAAGAATGTGACCTGACACTAGGTGAAAGATGAAAAGGAACTGAATTAGAACCAAAGAAGATACATGATCCCTTCTAAGATATCGTAGAAGTATAGTTGACTTGGATATACTTCAGGTAGCCTATTAGTGATACTCTTAATCATGATAGAACAGTAAATAGGATAAACATGTTTAGAAGGGAATTCAATTAGTTCCGTTTTAATATTTGAATGTGAATGGTCAGCAGGATCCCACAGATGGGTAAAGCTTGTGGGTAGTTAGAAATGTAGCTCTGGGGCTCAGGAGAAAAGTCTTGCCTAGAGATGGAGGACTAGATGTCATCAGAGTCCAGTTTATTTCAAAACAAGATGAGATATTTTAGTGTTCATGCAGGGTAAAAGAGCAAAGACTTCAATCCAAATCCCGAAAACATATATTAATAGACAAGGGTCATGTGGGTAGGTAATAGCCCTAATGTGACACTCTGCAAGGCTGACAGGTTTGGGGCTTATTTCCAGAGACCTCCCTACACATGTCAGACAAGCACATGCCCATTATCTGTGGCTGGCTGAGACTAGGAGTGGATGGTTGCATGAAAACTCTTTGGAAGGTTCTCTCTCTCTCTCTCTTCCTCTCTTTCCATCTTTCTGGTATGCGAATATTTTCTTTATCTTATTTTAGGGTACTTACTATTACCAAAACACATCAAGCTAAAAACTTAAGGTCTATGTAGACCAAAAAAAGGGAAGAAAGAAAAAAGTCATGGGTCAAAGATGAGAGACTGAGCACTTATATTTGCTTGCTTCAGAATTTCCACTGATTTACAGAGACATTTCTATACAAAAGTAAATGTCTATACTGGGAGAAAGGTCACAACTAAAAAATTTTCCAAGCAAGTCCAGCCATGAACCTGCTATGTGAGGCTAGAGCCCCATGGGAGGCCTGACTGAGTTCAGACCCCAGACCCACCTATAATCCTGGCTAACTGGGAAGCTGGGGCAGGAATGTCACAATGGCCAGATCCTGTTAACAATACTCTTGCCTCTTGCCTCTTCCTCTTCCTCCTCTTTCTCTTTCTCTCCCTCTCTCTCTACTACATAAACCCTAAAATGCTCAGAAATTGGAGGTGAGTTTGAAGGCTTTCCAAAAAACGGAGAGTTGTTTGGAATTTTAAAGTAAGTGGAGCCCTAGATCTACTCCCCCAGTCTATAATGAGGTGACTTTTCTCCCCTACTATCAACAGAAGACCAGAAGTAATTCCCTGAAAAGACTAAAACAGAAGTTCCCAACACATGGGAAATCAGACATAAATGATGGTCAGGTACTCTACTGAAAACAGGAGCCTACATGACAGTCTACCTACATTCTACATGTTGAGTTTCCCAGACCTCTTTTTTTACTGAGCCCTAGAATACTAGGAAACACACCCAAGAAGAATTTAGGTTCTGAGAAATGTGATCAGCCTATGACAAAACAAAAATAGACCATCCAGTCCCAACTGGAATAGATCGGCAGACTCTAAGG